GGCAACGTGGCTAAGAAGACGCCGCTCCCCACGGGCAAGAAGACGGACGGCGCGGCTGGGAAGGACAAGCAGCGCAAGTGGGCGAAGCCGAGGTGGGAGATGCAGACCACACGCAACTTGGCGAGCGGGGTTGAACCTCCCACCGATGAGGCGTCGGGCGCGCGCGGCGATTCCCAGCAGCCCCGCTGGGGTCGCAGTTTGCGCGCCCGCCGCCTTTCAGGCGACTGTTCATCGTTGCTCCGCCCCCCAGGTGCAGTTCCGCAGCGGCAGGGTCGGCGTCCCTGGCAGCAACGTCAGCCTGAAGTACATCGCGGGCGATGAGGCCGACAAGGCCAGATTCTCACCGACGCCCTTCTCGACGCCCTCCTCCGCGCTCTCTTCATTTTCGCCCCTGCCTCGACGCCCCCTCCGCCCCCTGCTGCCTCGTTGCGCCCGATCGCTCCGAGGCCAGGGCCATCGCGGAGGCGGAGGAGCTGGTCAAGAAGGAGCTCGCCGCCAGGGCGCGCGGCGAGTAATTCGCGCTACGACTCTTCAACTCTCCAGGCCAACGGGGCGGCCTCGGGATAACAAAAAGGTCGTGGCGGATATGCCGCCTCGTGGCGGATATGCCGCCTTGTAGCGCAGCCTTCTCGCCTTCCAACTCGTGGCGGACATGCCGCCCCCGCCCCACCCCTTTGCGCTCCTCCGCCCTTCAGGCGGACATGCCGCCGCCCCCCTCCCCTAATCGGCCCACTCCGCGCCCCCGCGCCACGTCCCTGCGCCCCCCTCTCCGCTGTCAGGCACTGGATCCCACGCCAACTAACGTCGGGGAGACGCCCACTGCTCGAACGGCGAAGGCGTTCACCCAGAATGGCATGGGCGCGCGCGAAGGCACCGACGTTGCCACCGCCCGTTCAACGACGAAAACAAGTGAACCAAGACCTGCACATTCAAAGGGACGCCAGTTCACTTATATTTCTGGTTCCCAATGCCACCCTCACTCTGCCCCCTCCCCCGAGACCCCGTCGCAAGAACCAGCGGGGCCCTTCTGAGAGGCCCCCGAGGGCTCGAGGAGCTCCAAGACTTCAATGGGTCCATGGGCAACCCCCTCCCCCTCCTCCCGAAGTCTCGCTTCCGCGTCCGATTCCATTTCGGTTCAAGCCCGCGGCCCGCGGGTGCCCGCGAGCCCGCGCGGGGTTGGCCCCCCCCTTTCGCGCCGACGCGTGGGCTGGGGCCCGCGCGCCGAGGCTGCGCCGCAGCCACCGCGTCGCGCTCGGCGCCTCGCACTGCGGCCGCGGCCATGGCAGACAGCGGCAGCGCGTTCGACGCGTTGGAGGCAGCTGCATCGCCAAAACAAGTGGCCCCGCGTGCGGTAGCCAGGGACGCGCGCATCGCGCGCGAAACTGGCTGGCCGCTCTCGGTCGAACTGTTTTGGCGATTCGGCGCAGGAGATGTTCGGGCCAGCGATGCAGTTGCTCTCCGACCTTGCGGGCGTGGACAACAACGCAGGGGATCGGTCTTCCTCCGCCAGCGGCAGTCGGCCAGCCAGCGCGCCCACGTTGGCGGCGCAGCCAGCGCGATCGCGCAGCCCGCGCCACCCGCGGGCACCGTCGACGCCGCCGCGCAGGCGGGGGCCGACGTCACCGCCGCGGGACCCGCGGCAGCGGCCTTTCCCGCCCTCGGCTCTCGTGAAGGAGCTCGCGTCGCACATGCGGGGCGCGACGCCTGTGGTGGAAGAGCCCCCCGAGGCGGTGGAGGCGCATCCCAGCGCGGTGGAGGCGTTCAGGGCGCAGCTGCGAGCCTGGCTGAGCGACCCCGTTGGGAATCCCATCGACTGGCGGTCGGAGACCGTGCTCGCCGTGCTCAAGGAGTACCAGATGAAGTACGACTACAAGAAGTTCCGCGACCGCGGCCCGCCTGGCCCCGCCATGGGCGGGCCGCAGACGTGGCAGGGCCAGGCGTGGCGCGCCAATGCGAAGCGCTGGGGGAACCGAGGTGGCGCAAAGCGCGAGATGTACGCGAAGCTGCACGGCAACAAGGCAGCGCCGCGGGTGCGCGAGGCGCACGTCCCCAAGCCTCAGCTGATGCATCGGGAGCCCAAGGCGCCGAACTTGCCCAAGACGATGCCTCAGCAGGCGCCGTGGAGGACTGGCAATATGAACCCTCCAGTTCCGCCTCCGCCGCCGAAGACCATGGGGCCGCCGCCGCCGAAGACCAGGCAGCCGCCAGCAGGGAAGCCCAGCATGGTGCAGCCGAGGGCAGGGCGTCGGCTGCAGCCGACAAGCAAGATGGCACCACCGCCAGCGAAGCCGCGCCCGCCCGCCCGCGGAGATGTCTTCTTGTAGGGTGATCGCGTGGACCTGCAAGCGGGCTGGGGTGCATAGCTTCCGTAATTCGAGCGCGGATAGTTGCAGCTATCCGCGCTGACGCGTCATGACGCGCCGCCTCTCCCCGCCTCGTCTCATCTCATCTCTCCTCCCCTCTCTTCGTTGCCGATCTATCTCATTGGCGGACGCGCCGCCTCCCCCCGCCTGGCGGACAACCGCCGTTCAGATACGAGCATCGGCGCATCGGGTTTGTTCTATGCGGTTGGAAAAAAAACACCAGTCCTTCCCTGAGCCACCCATTGGCGGCTAAACCGCCCTGAAGCCTCCATTGGCGGCCACGCCGCCCATTGGCGGCTAAACCGCCCATTGGCGGCCACGCCGCCCTGAGCCCTCCATTGGCGGCTAAACCGCCGCCGCCGCCTGCTGGCATCCCGAAATGTGCGATGCCACCGCGCCTCTTACACATGTATGTTTTTGTTGTTGGGACGCTGTATCGGCTCGAATCTAGGCGCGCACAGGCTCGCGCCCCACGCCGCCCCTGCGCTAGCCGTGCACTTCTCGCCCTGCCGCCATGGCAGGCCAGCAGGGCGAGAAGACCGTCATGTTCGGCTTCAAGTGCCCACAGAGCAGCAGCTGCAAAAGGGGCGCAAGTGGTTCCAGGGAGAGACAGTGGAGGAGGCCAGGAACAAGCTGGTGAACCACCTTCACGTGTCGCCGTACCACAGCTTGAGCGAGGAGGAAGCGGAGGTAGCTGCTATCGCACTCGATGCCGACTCGTGGGAAGTCGACCTCGCGGAGTGGCGCCAATGGGAGGAGGAGAAGGCCAACTGGGGCTCCGCCAAAAGGCGCAAGGGGGCGCCGAAGGTCGAGCTGGCGCCAATCCCTCCACAATCCCGCGTGGAGCGCTCGCACCAGCTGAAGGACGCGTTCTCGGAGGGCAGCGGATCGTCAGGCGCAGCTTCGTCAGCCACGGCGGGCATGAGGATGTCCACGGCGTTGGCCAGCCAGATGTCGCCCGATAGCATCGTGGTGCTCAACGGCACCCAGTGCCAGGCTGTGCTCGACTCGTTGCGCCGCGCGCGTACTGCGACGCAGATGTGCGCCCAGATAGCGGAGCGCGCGGTGAACGCTTTCCGCCAAGAGGAGCAATGCATCGCCGAGTGCGAGGACGTGCTCGCGAGCTGGCTGGTGCGCAACGCGACCTCGTAGGTGCAGGTGCACGGCTGGCAGCACTGATGTCGCCTCAGCATCAGTAGCCTCATTCGCGCAGGCGGCGCGACGCGTCGGCCCTACACGCCCCCCTCCCACTCCTCCAACGCAATTTCAATCCACACCCCTGTGTCAGAACAAATTAGGACACCCCCACACACTCCATCCGCACTCAATTCGTGAAGGCCGCCACGCCGAGGTGAATTTTGGCCACGCAGGCGGCCGAGTAGCCGTCCCCCAATGCAAGGCGATATGGGGGCGAGTGGACGAGCGGAGCGGGAGGAAGGTGAGGGAACTTCGGCGGATAAGACAGGTGGGCGGTTGGATGGGATTTGGCAAAAGGGCTGGGTGGAGAAAACTGCATCCGCATAAGAATGAGTGCGGCTATTTTCTGGATGTGCTGCATCGCCATGTCCGCCCACCCCCCCATCGCCTTGCATATGATGACGCTCAGGCAGCGCGCCCCGATTGCGCGCGCTCGCCCGTCTCTTCGCTGCCGCTCAGGCAGCGCGCCTCGCTTCCGCGCTCGCCCGTCTTTTCGCTGCCGCTCAGGCAGCGGTTTGAAGCACGCGGCGCCGTCCGCGGTCGGTAGCGCAGGGCGCCGCTCCGCCCCTGCTGCTCCGCTTAACTAACTCGGCGGACGTGCCGCTACGCCGCCGCCATGCACTGGCAAAAAAACGTTGGCTGTTATCATATGTTAGCAGATGTTATCACGCGCCTGATAACACCTGATAACACCTGATAACACCTGATAACATGTTATCAGGTGTTATCATGTGTTAGCATGGTGTTATCACACGCCTGATAACATATGATAACATATGATAACATGATGTCAATTTTGTGTGGTTGTCATGTTGCGCGCAATTCATTTCAGTATCCGTATCACCTCGTGCGTCCGCCACGCTTCGAGCGGCTAGTCCGCTGGCGGCCAATCCGCCTCCCTCGCCGCGCCCCTGCACCCTCTCAAGCGGCGAGTCCGCTGGCGGATATGCCGCCCCCTTCATACCTCACTCCACCCCTCCCTCCACCTTTGAAGCGGCTATTCCGCTGGCGGCTATCCCGCCTCACTTACCGCGCGTTTTCTTCGTCATCGCTTCGCGTCCAGCTCATCTTGGCATCAGGGCCGCGCGCGACGCGCGGCTTCTCGCGTGCCAAGGCGGTCACGCCGCCATGGCGGGGACGCCGCCCGCTGAAGATCACCAGCAGCATTCTCTGGCAGTGATGTTCGGAGCAGCCAGGCCGAAAAACAAGGGAGTGATGACCAAGGCGCCCGCAGCGAAGCCCCGTGGGAAAGCTAAGCTATCGGGGACGCAGATGACACTGACTGGACAGCTTGTGCCGCCGCTCGCATTGACCGACGCAGGGCCGCCGAAGGCACGCGGGAAAAGCAAAGGCAAGGGCAAAGGTAAGCACCCCGCAGCGTTGAGGACGGCTCGCAAAGCTGCGTCAGCCGCAGCTCCCGCCGAAGAACTGCCTCCTCAGGGCGCAGCGGCTTTGCCACCAGAGCCGGACGACGCAGCGTCAGAGGCGGCATCGGGCTCCGAGGAGCGCGGCGACGAGATTGGTTCCGAGCTCGGCGTCAAACAGGATGAGCTTGAGAGTGCCAAGCGTGAGCTTGAGGAGGAAGAGGCTCCACCGCAGGGCGCGGTAGCCAAGGTTGAGAATGAGGAGCGCTCGCCCGAGGCGGCAGCGCCGCAGGCGGAGGAGGAGGAGGCAGCTCAGGACGATCCGCCAGCAGGCGCTCCCCAGGTAGGGGAGTTCGTGGATGTGCATGGCATCGGGATAGCATCGTGCGTTGCAACCGCTGCTGTCGCACGGCAAAGGAGTGCAACTACAGGATCAGGGCGAAGGGCCAGTCGACTTACCAGTGCGACGCGTGCAACACGAACGGGGTGCGCCTTTCTCGGAGGTTCGGACAGTGGCCGCCAAAGTGTTTCGCCAAAATGAAGAGTGAGTTCAAGCAGCAGTTCTACAAGGATCTGGCAGAAGATCCTGGGCTGTCGAACCTCGATCGCATTGAAGCCTTCGTGGTCAGCTCAATCACTGTCCAACGGATGGAGGAGGAGCGCGTCCGCAAGGGTGGCAAGTACCTTCCGCTGAGGAAGTGGGCGCACGACGGCTTCGACGCGAAAAAGATTGAAGATAATGTGCAGGATAAGAGGTGGAACCCTGATCTCGGGGAGTGGACGTACAGGCCGCAATTGGAGGCGGCCTGGAGCGAGACAGTGGAGGCCGCAGTGCGCAACGAGCTGTACACCGATAAGAGGACGCAGGCGAAGCAGAGCGGCCCGCGGGCAGCGGCCTCGACGGGCGTCGCAGAGCACGGCGGCGACAAGGGCGACAGAAGCGACGAGAGCGACATGTCCAGATCCAGGCGGCGCCGCAGGCGCAGGTCTGACAGCCGCAGGAGGAGGAGGCGCAGCATGAGCAGGCGCGACAGCAGGGGCAGGCGCGACAGCAGGAGCAGACGCCGCGACAGACGTCGCGACACCAACCGCAGCAGGAGCCGCTCGCGCGGCGACCGCGACAGGAGCAAGAGCCGCCGCAAGGGCAGGAGCAAGAGCCGCGGCAAGAGCAAGGACAGGAGCAAGAGCAGGCCGTTTGGGGGTTCAACGCAGGGGTGTCGCCTGGGCTTCGCATTCGTTTTCGGTTTCCGTTCAACTCTTCAGGTTCGGATCGGGTTATTGATTTCGCTCGGCTCGAAGTGTTGTCATTTTCGGACAACCCCGAAGGCTCCGCAGGGATAAGGACGCTGAGAAGGAGCGGAGGCGACAGGAAGCGAGGGAGAAGGCCGAGCAGGCCAAGAAGGAGACGCAGGAGAAAAACCTGGCGCTGAAGTGGATCGGCACCGCAACGAGGCTCGAGACAGAGCTGGACGGGTACCTCGAGCATGAGAAGGCGGACAAGGTGCCGTCATGGGCTGTGAAGAACGCGAAGGCGGCGAGGAAGTCTGTGGCAGTCATGAAGGCGGTGGCGCAGAAGCGCGTGCACAGCGGCGTGGCGTTGACGATCACGCAGGACGAGGCCATCAGCATCCAGAAGGATGCGAGCTCGGCGGCGAGGGCCATCGCGGGGATGCTCAAGGAGGCGCAGAAGCACAGCACCTGAGCGCCCCATGGTGGCCCAGTACATCATGAAGTACGGCCTGAAAAAGGTGGAGAAGGACCCGAATAAGCCGCGGCCGCTGGGCCGCTCGTGAGCAGGGGCGGCAGTTGGGCCGCTCCTGACGAGGTGTGTGATTTCGTATATACAATTGTTATTGTTGGTGAAACAACATTTCCACCGCCACCCCACTCGTTACCACCGCAGCCCTTCGTTTGGCGGGGATGCCGCCTTTCCACTCTCGCAAGCCCTTGGCGGACATGCCGCCTTGCCTTCATTTGGCGGAGATGCCGCCTTTGCTGCTCATCGCGCTCCGATGCCTCACTTGGCGAGGCGAAGCGCTTGCCTAACTCCCTCCTGCTCGAGCGCGTCCTGCCCGAGACCCTACCGCGCGAGCTGTGGCTCGCGAAGGCCAGCGACACCGTTGGGAATCCCATCGATTGGCGGTCGGAGACGAAGCAGAGGCGAAGCAGCTCCTTGGCAGGGGCGGCAGTTGGGCCGCTCATGACGAGGTGTGTGATTTCGTACAATTGTTATTGTTGTTGAAAAAAAACATTTCTTCGTTGCCATCGCCACCCCACTCGTTACCACCGCAGCCCTTCGTTTGGCGGGGATGCCGCCTTTCCACTCTCGCAAGCCCTTGGCGGACATGCCGCCTTGCCTTCATTTGGCGGAGATGCCGCCTTTGCTGCCCACCGCGCTCGCACCGTTCTCTCGCGTTTCCCAATGACATGATCTGCCACCGTCCCACCCCTCATCCGTAGTCTTTGTGGCTCAAGTGGAGCCGCTCGAGGTCGTGCCCCTTCGCGGTCTTGCGCCGCCATGGCGAGCATCGCGGACAAGTACGACGTCGATGACTTCGAGCTCATCACGGGTGGCAGTGCGTGGAGCTGGGCGACCATCGTGGTGCGCTTCATCGAGTGGCGCAATCGTTGCCGCCATGCACGCGCCGTTGGCATCAAGGGCCAGATGCTCATCGACAAGGCGCGGCGCATGATGGAGGAGGCGCGCCGCACCGAGGAGCGCGGCAAGATGCTGTGCCAGACGTCGAAGCAGATGGTGCAGGACATCCCAGGCGGCATTCGGTTCTTCTGCCGCCAGCCGCACCAGGAGAGCTGAGCGGCGATCGGCTGGGCCGATAGAGGAGGATAAGGAGGAAGAGGAGGCAGGATGAGGAGAGGAGGAGGAGGTGGATGAGGAGTTGGAGGCAGCACGCGCACCCGCACTAAGAGCCGCCAGCCGCCGCCGCGCCCGTCCCGCGCTGCGCCCGTCCCGAGCTCGAGCCGCCAGCCGCGCCCGTCTCCGAGCGCTGGCGGCTTGGAACCCGAGCTTGAAACTCAAGCTCGAAATTGCGTGCGAGAAAAAGAAATCTCCCTTGCAAGTTCCGTTGCTACGCTCACTTCGCGCCTCCGCAATCTCCCCCACCCACCCCCCTCCCCCCTCCCCCCATGCCCCCTCGCCCCCACGCTCTTCGGCGGCTACGCCGCCCCTCCCGACCCTTCAGGCGGCTACACCGCCATGCCCTTCGGCGGCTACTCCGCCCCGCGATCCATTCCCGCCTCCACTTCCGTCTCTCTGGCTGCAATTCGTTTTTCTCAACCGCGCTGGGCCTCGCGCTGCCCCCCGCCCCCGCCCCTCCCGCGCGCGGGCGTCGGCGCAATGGGGAAACGCGCCCTGCAGGTGGACAAGCAGGTGGAGCAGCGGGCTCGACTGCAACAGTGTCTGGCCCTGCGCGGCGTGTCCGCGGCTTTGCTCGAGCGAATCGTGACTGCGCTTGGCCATGGCGACGACGCGGGCGATGCTATAGACGTGAGCGCTCGGGCCATGCAGCGATCGCAGACGGCATCCGTGGCCGATCTCATCAGCGCAGTGCGGCTGCAGCCCAAGATCGGCACGCCTTTCCGATGGAGCGTGGCGCTGCCGCATCGGCTGATGCCGAGGCTCCTGTCGGACTGCCCTCTCTGGAGTTCAATGTTTTGGGAAGCGATGCGCCGTTTCCCTGTGTCGCGCGATCGGCCGTGGAGGCTTTTGCTGTACTACGACGACATTGGCGTGGGCAACGCCTTGAAGATAGATAATCGTCGGAATCAGCTCGCGGTGTATGCGAGTTTCCTCGAGTTCGGATCCTTCTTGCAGAAGGAGGTTGCGTGGCTGCCGATCGGCACCTTGCGCGTCGTCGTGAAGAAGAGCATCGGCGGCTCGGCCGTGGCGCGGGCATTGCTTCGCGCGCTGTTCCTGGGCCCAGAGAGTCTGTCGGAGCACGGTGCGCCAATCGGCGGCGTGCACTTTTTCGCCAAGTTCCACCGCTTGATTGCAGACGAGGCGGCTGGAAAAGAGACATTCTGCACCAAGGGCGCTGCAGGTCTGAGACCGTGCTTGCAATGCAAGAACGTTGTGCTGGATCAGGCGGAATGTCTTGCAGACTACGACGACGATGATTACCTCGTGCCTCTCTGGTGCGCTGACTCGTCGCGCTTTGACCCGCTGTCGTCAGACGAGTTTTTGCAGCAATATGATGATTTGGCGTCGCTGCGGGACACGACAACCAGAGCGAACATCGAGAGACTGGAGCCAGGGAGGAAAACATTTCCATCGATCCCCTTCTGATGTCCCCCCCTTCCTTCCCTTCTGATGTTCCGGCCCCCGAAGGAGACGGCAATGGGCATCACTCTGGATGACCGTTCTCTGGTGGCGTGCCAGGCGTTGCGGACGGTGGCGCCGCCGAGCACATACGTGAGGGACCCCATGCATACCATGCTGGCCAGCGGCGGGACCTTGCAGGTCGAAATCTTTGCGCTCCTCAAGGCGGTGAGGGATGTCATCCCCGACGCGTGGGGAACGTGGCGGGATCGCTGCTCGGCGTGGCGGACTGGCAGACGCGGCAGGAAACCGCCAGCGTTTCTGTTCAGCGTGGCTCGGAAGAAAGCGACCTGCAAGGCGTCGCACTTCGTGGGCAAGGCGTCGGATTGCTTGGCCGTGTTCCCTTTGATTCGTCATTGGGTGCACACAGAGCTGCGTCCCAGCGGCATGGCGAACGCTGCGGCGCGGTCGTTCGAGGCGATGGCGAAGATGCTCGAATTGTACATGCAGGGCAAAAGGACATGCGGCCGCAGCTGAAACGCAAACGCTGGCCTGCGCGTTCGAGGATGCACCGCGTCGGCCCGCGCGCATCCTCGAGCGCTTAGGTGGCAGGCGGTCCGGCTACGTCCTGAGGATCGGCGCCGTGCCGAATTTGATAGCTGTCTGGACCAAGGCCGTTTCGATTTCCTTGGCGCTGCACAAAGCCGCGCACGGGCCAGCCCTGATCAAGCCGAAGCATCATTATTTGTGGCACGTCCCCGACCAGCCTGCGGAGGACGGCATCTGGTTGGACGCCTTCGTACTCGAGCGGAAGCACAACCTGCTTCGGTCCAGGTCGCAGGAGATCGACAACCCTGAGAATTTCGAGCGGTCGGCCTTGACGGCGATGCTCGCCTGCTTCCTGGAGGAAGCGAAGGAGGCGCCGCGCTCCCGCGCCAAAGCGTGGCGCACGCCAGAGCTGGACAGTGCGTTCGGGCACTCGGGGCGCAACCTTGCATGCCCTTTGTGGAGGAAGATGGGCTGGGAGAGGGGAAGGCGGTTTGCCGCCGAGGCGGCTCGCCGCCAGGAGGAGGAGGAGGAGGAGGAGGAGGAGGAGGAGGAGGAGGAGGAACCCCTCCGCAGGGCTGAAACGTGGACCAGCAGAGAGGCGTCCATCGACGGCCAGATGCACGGCAGCCAGGACAGACGGCGCAACCAACCTTGGTATTTAGGGGTGCACATGCGTGTGCCCCCCCAAAAATCGAGGCGTTGCTGCCCTCAGGATTTTCTCCTGGGCGACGGCGAGGCGTACATCGTGCATTGCTGCGCGCAGGCTGGCGCCGCCAGCTACCTGCTGGTGGAGACCCTGGAATGGGTGCGCGCGCCATGCCCAGGCGCGTCCCTGTGGCGGCCGCGCGGCGACGTCGCCGTGATGCCCGCCGAGCTGATCCCGCCAGCCTGGGCGGCTTATCGGCGACTACAGGACGATGGCTACGTGCTCGCCATCACGTGAAAAAGGAAAAAACGAGCGCATGCGAGAGCGGATATGCCGCTGGCGGATGCGCCGCCCTTCGATAGAGAGGTGCAGGAGGGAGGGGCGGATATGCCGCCGAAGAAGGAAGGCGGGCTCGGGGAGGGAAGGCGGCAGGAGGGAGCGGGGGCGGGCTGGCCGCCGACAACGAGGAGAGGGGAGGCGGTGATGGCCGCCGAGGGGAGGCAGTTTGAAGAATAGTTGATCCCCCCCCCTCTCCCTCTCCCCCCTTCCCCTCCGCGCCCCGCAGGCGTCCTGAGGGCGGCTCGGCGCGTCGACCTGCGGCGCCCTGTCCTGAAAAGCTGTTGTGTTGTAGTTGTTAAAACGTTTTTTGTGGTTTTTTCCCGAAACATAGCAATATCAAGAACAAACATGCAAAACATAGAAAGTTATGCAAATTTCGGGTTAACCGAATCGGACAGCCCACATCGACTTAGCTGACTTAGCTACTAAGTTGGGTATGTTGAGGTGTATGTATCGATATATCTTGGCAGTGGTACCCGATAGCTCAGTTGATAAGATGGATGGTTCTGTGAGTAGTATGTATGGTATGTTGTTGAATATACTTATCTAACAAAACGTTAAGTAGATGAATGCGAAGTTCGATATTTTATATATGTTGAATATGTGAGGTCAACTAGCATGAACCTACATACATCTTCGTTGAAACGATTTCATCGGATATACAACGCTCTTACCGCACTTACACCCACCCGACGATCAAAGCGGGGTTCTCCGGGTTCTCCCGGTTCCGGGTTCTCCGGGTTCTCCGGGGTTCTCCGGGTTCTCCGGGTTCTCCGGGTTCTCCGGGTTCTCCGGGTTCTCCGGGGTTCTCCGGGTTCTCCGGGTTCTCCGGGTTCTCCGGGTTCTCCGGGTTCTCCAAGGTTCTCCGGATTCTCCGGGTTCTCCGGGTTCT